GCGGCCCCGTTTCCACCTGCGGGTCCCTGGCACAGGCACCCCTGGAGGGGGACGCAGGAGGGAGGAGGAGGAGCGGGGCAGGGGCTCTGCCCAAAGCCTCGTCAGAAACCCCTTCGTGAGTGCAGGTGGGAAATGCGGGGACTCAGCAGAAACGGGAGGGGGAGGGCCCAGACCTGGAACAGGGTCCCCACTTTTCTAAGATGAGACGGGCGTGCGGGGCAGCTCCAGGGCTGCTCCGGCGCTGAGGCGACGTCCACCCTCCGGAACCTGGCCTGTAAGGGGTAAAGGAGGCCCCCAGACTCAGACGAGGACTCTCCCAGGGCCGCGTCCCTCGTTCCTGGGAGAGGAGTGTGTGCTTCACTGACTTACTGGTTCATTGTTTGTGCCTTTGTTCATGTAAGCGGTCAGACCCCTAAAACTTCAAAAAATATCCATTGGAACTATTTTTCTGGCATCTTTATTTTGGCAAAGTGTATTCACAGTTCCTAGACTTGTGAACGTGACCAGAAGTTTGTGCTTTCTTAAGAACTGGAGGTCAAACGCACCCCAGCCATTGAAGATGCGGGAGCTTGGAGCACAGAGCAGGCGCCCCCAGACCAGACGAAGATGCCCCGCTGCTGGGCTTCCCCAGGTCTAGCTGTGCCTTCGACTCCTCCCGAGTGTCCCCAGCGGCCAGCAGCAGGGGACACCGGGCTTCTCTGGCTACATATGCAGGCTCGGTTGTCTGCAGTGCGGGAGAGACGTCTGGGGAACCCGCGCTGTGGGGTCCCAGGCCCCAAGGGTCTGATGCGGGCACGGGGCTGGACTGTTCACAGTGCCAAATGCAGATCAAAGTCAGGGGACGCGGGTGAGCCTGGCGGAGTCTCCAGTCCCCACAATAAAGCCCGGCCAGCCGGTTGCAAAACACAAAGGTCTCGGGTGATGCTTGTGCTGTTTTGGGGAAGGCGGCCAGGCCCCTACTGAAGGGACAGCGTTCCCGGGCCGCCGTCCTGCCACAAAACCGCTTGTCACACATGAAACAGCAGATTAGGAATTTCCTATTCTATTTTTACTGCAAAATTTGCACTGTCAAAGGCTGTTGGGTTTGGAAAAGCTTTCTCCCTTCTGAGCTGCTTGGCTGCCCATGAAAGGGTGGCTGGGCTGGGTCCCCCAGTGGGACACTCACAGCCCTCACAGGGCCCTGGGATGCTGATAAGGAGTCAAAACCCACATTATCTCCTGTTTTTATTGCTCTGGTTAACCATTAAAAAGCTGGGGGGTGGGGGCGGGGGAATTTGGTGAGTTGAGAAAGTAGCTCCTGAGGTCCTTGTCTGAGCCCAAGCTGGGCCAGTCAGAGGTTGGGGGAGCTGAGGGTTCCCCGCCCTGAGGAGGCATCCACCTGCCCCCAGACCTCCAGCTTCTTTCATGTTTTGGTGAAAATGCAGAGGTTTCTGGGTTTGCTCCCCTCAGAGGGGCAACGCCTGTCGGGGGGTCCATGTGCCCAGATGCGGTTCTGGAAAAGTCGGTGGAGACACCCTCTGGGCTCACAGGAGCAGGCCTAAGGAAGAGGGACAATTCAGTGGCCCTGGAGGGCAAGGAAGGGTGAAAGTCAGTTTCCTGCAAGTCCGGGCTGGCTTTGAAAGCAGAGGACCCACAGGTGCCCATGGTGGCCAGTGGCCAGCGGAGCAGTGGCCCCCACGAGCGCGCTTTAGACCCCGAGGCTGTGCTGGGCAGGTCCCAGCTGCGATGGTAGGTGGAGGTGCGTCTGCTGTTCCGGGACCCTCTCGAGTCCCGAGTCCCACGCAAGGGAGGGCTCAGGTCCTTGGACAGAATCTCCTAGTGACAGACTTGCTCTTTAAGAGAAGTCTCACTGAAATTTGAAGGAGCTGCTCTCCTGCCTTCACCCTCCTTTCTCTATTGGATTTGCAACGCCTGCTATTGTGAGTTTTTTTCAAAAGCAAAATGTTGTGCAGTTGAGTCTCTGGATAAAGAGAGAAGAAAAGCTTCCGCCTTCTCAGGGCAAAGACTTTCTGTCCTAAGGTGGGGGTGCAGGGGTGGCTCTGCCCTCCAGTCTCTGAGCTGATCTCCAGACACAGGAACCTGCCGGGATGGCTGGGTGAGCTGAGTGAGCATTTGCACCACGTGTGTGTATGTGTGTGCACACACGGGCAGGCACACGGGCACACATACGCACACACACGAACACATGCTTGTGTGCACAGACCTGCACACGCCTGCTGACACGCACACATATGAACACACCTGTACACACACACGCACGCACCCACATGCACACAGGCAGGTGGTGAAAGCTGCCCCCAAATTCAGGTGCCACAGCAGTTTCGGGGGCTCCCTGACACCCAGGCGCTGACTTGATTCTGAGACGTCCCCCTGAGGGAACCACATGGAAGCACTTTTCTGCGGGAGAGGAAGCTGTCTTGGGAGGGAAGTCACAGCCTAAGGTCACAGGGAGGCAGGGACAGAGGGACAGTGACCGCAAGGCTTGGGACTCCCTGCTCAGCCCTTCCTGCCCGGGATGGACACAGATTCTGTGAGATTTCCCTCCCGAGGAGCGGGGAGGGTGCAGTGAGGTTGCTTTGGGTGGAATCTGCCCCACTGCCCCTGGGCACCTCCTGGGAGAGCTGGGCGTCCACCAGCACCCAGCTGACACCCGGGACAGTGGGTTGGCCCCCGCCACAGGCTGCGGACCTGCGGTCTGCATTCAAATCCAGGCCAGCGTTTGCCCCCCGCACCCACCTGGTCGGTTCCTCAGCGACCTTTTCTGGGTGGTGGTAGTTCCACCCAAGAAGTCATTGGCGGGGCTGGAAGGAGGCCGGAGTGCACCCCGTGTCCCACGAGTCACTGGCCAGCTCACAGAGCCGGCCAGTCCTGTGCTGCCATCGGGGGGCATCCCCTCGTTGTCTGGATGGCCCTCCAGCCTCTGTGGCTTGACCAGGGTCATCTAGGAGGGAAGAGAGTGGGGAGTCGTCCACTGCCTCTCTGGCCCGTGTCCCTCCTGTAACTGGACCCAGTGCCTTGGACCCCGATCTGGGAACCTCTGTGTATGTAGAGGGCAGCCTGGCTAAGTGGTCGGGGGTTCAGGGAACAGCGCTGGGAGCCAAGGGTGGTGTTCCCCTCCACCTGCCTCGAATGGCAAGAGGGCCGGCTCGCGTCCTGTAACTGGCTGGGAAAGGCGTGTGGGACCCGAAGCTGTTCGGGACTTAGCATGTTTTATGAGCAGCACACGAACCCAGCAACCAGAGAGGAAGGGTCACAGACCTACTCATCTGAATGTTTAACACTTCTGTATGGATGTTAAAACGCAATGACAGCACGGGAGGGTGTGCGCTCTACAGAGCTGACACCCCGGTTACAGAAAGGGCGTCTGCGAGAGGAGAGGAAACGACAGAAGAGGAGCACAGGACAGAGAGGACAGGGCCCGCCCACAGGGGGTCCAGGAGACCCGCCTCCGCCCCCTGTCTGCTGGGGGAATGCTGGCTACCAGACCAGTCAGCTGCAGACCTGCAGGCGTTTTGTTCTGGGCGGGCGAGGCTGCAGCCGTGCCTCCTCATGCAAGGAGTGTGGGCTGGGCCCGGCGTCCTGGAGGGCGTGCGCCAGTGCCCAGCGTGCACACTCAGAATCCCACTTTGGAATCTCTCACTAAGACGCTGGCGGACAATCCCGGCGCAGTCACTGGTAGGAGCAAAAAACGGAAGCAATCTAGAAGCCCCGCGTAGGCTGCTGCGCCACGGGAAGGACTGTCATGCCGCCGTGGAAGGCGTGGTGGAGCTGGGGGCTGACAGCAGCGCTGTCAGGGCATCCGGGTGCAGGGTGGTCCTTACACCAGGACCCCTTTGTGAAGCCACCGTCTGGAAGGGTCGCACCCGGCGTGGGCTGACGTCCTCCACGAGGCGAGTGGCGGAGGGGTCGGCTGCTGTGGGATTCCAGTGAAGCGAGTTCCTCCCAAACCGCAGGGACTCCGTTGCTCCCACTGACTCAGCTGCCAAATCGACGTCGGGAAGTTGAAACTGTCGAATCACACACCCTCCCTGTGGCCCCAAGTCGTCTCTGTCCCCAGAGATCTGGGGCTGGTTCTCTGCGGCGTCTTTGTCTCTAAGCGCGTCCTTTGGTTCTGGACATTTTCTTGACGTTTCTTTAGTGATTTCCCTACGTCTTCTCTAGTCTCTTTCTCTAAACTTCGGTTTGGATGTTGGACGTCCTGACCTGCTTGTCCAGCCTGAAGACTCTGTCCAGTTTTGTACCACTGGGTCCTTTGACTCTACTTTTTGGAAGATTTCTTCAACCCCGTCACCCAGACGTCCTGTTCTACTACAGAATTTGATTTCCAAGACTTCTTCCTGTTCCAGCAGCGCCCGATGCCATGTCACGGCCTCGAGGAGTCCTCCCCACGCGGAAGACGTTCGTGTCACCTCTTGTTTGAGGCCCCCCCCTCCGCCCCGGTCTCTGTCCTGCACCAGTGTCTCTGTGTTTCCTGCTGCAGCCTGGGGACCGCGGTTTGGGCCTCGTGAGACAAGGCTGGGCTCTTTTGCCGGGAAACCCCAGGCCTGTGTCCTCCTGGGGTGGGGGTTCCCATTTCCTGGGAAGACCCTCCTGGCTCCTGCTGGGAATGAAGGCTTGGCTGAGTCCTGTGTCCAGGGCTTCTGGTCACGTCCACCCCGGGAGTCCCGTTTGTCCTTGGTTTCTGGTTCTCACCAGTCTGGCATGGCAGAGACCAGGTTGTCTGAGCAGATCTCTGCATGCTGCTGGGGTTGGGGAGGGTCACCTGGGCACAGAGTGGGGCTCACAGGGGGCCCCCGAGTCTCCCCGGAGCCACTACTCCCTGCCCTACGTAGCTTCTGTGTCACGACGAGGCACACAGGCTTGCAGCCCTCAGGCCGCTGTGGCCTCTGCCCACTTCCCCTGGGCTCTGCCTCTGGGGGCAGTGTCCCACGGCCCGGTCTGCGGGAGGCTAGCCGGGCTGGGAGCCACGGTGC